GCGCACAGTAGGTAGGTAGGTAGGTAGGTGGGCCCTAAGAACAGTCCTAGCGACGGACCTGCTCTGAAACCATGTCAGTGATAACGGACTGGAATGGTGAACTAGAAAGGATTGTGAGTACAAATATGAAACCCTAATGTGGTGACCCCCCTATAGGCTAACCCACTACAGCCTACACAAGCATAACATATATAATGTTTGACAGGGTGTGCCTGCGTCCGCCCCGACGCCGGCCCATACTTCGCCTTCCACACCTCCAGCGACAGTGTCACGAAGAAGATCACCTCGACCGACCTGCCCACCTTGTGGTCGGTCAGGTCGAGCACCTCCTAGCCCTTGCTCTCCAGCGACACACCCAGGTGAAGTCCCCAGCGAGCCTTCGGCGCCAGCTTCCCACCGCGCTGCTGCTCGGGAACCATGAACTGCACCATGCAGCCCCACACCCGCGCCAGCGTGAGGTCGGGCTTCTTCCCGGTCAGCAGCTGGTATGGCGTCGTCCCAGGCGACGTCACCGACTGCTCCAAGCAGTTGCGCACCCAGACGGCCTGCCGCAGGGCGAGGTGCCACCAGTAGTGCTGCACGCCCATGTGCAGCAGCATCGTCCGCACGGACTCGACGACCGTGCGCATCTCCCGCTCTGCCATGCCGTTCTGCTGCGAAGTGTAGGGGCACGTCAGGTCGTTGACGATGCCCTGTCCGTCGACGAAGGTGGTGAAATCCTTTCCGAGGAATCTCCCCGCCCCGGTCAGAGCGGAGCGACAGCACCAACTTCTTCGTCTGCCGTTCCACCAGCACCAGCCACTTCTGAAACTCCCGCAGCACGTCGCTCTTCTTAGCGACCGGCATTGCCCACACGAAACGAGTGTGGCGATCCTTCAGCAGCAGGACGTACAAGCTGCAATCCTTAGCGGCCTCCTGAAATGGCCCGCAAAAGTCAACGTGCACTGCCAGTGCCTCCTCGGCGTCTGAGCCCTTGTCGGGGAAGGTGTGCCGCGCCAACTTTCCTCCGACGTACGAGACACACGGTGGGTCTCCTCCGGTCGACGGCGTGATGTCAAGCCCAGTAGCAACTTCATGCTTCGCCGAGCTCTTGATCGTGTCGATGCCGACGTGCGCGAGCCTCGCGTGCAACCGGTCGAGAGTCACCTTCGTCGCCGAGACTATTGTCCGTAGAGCCACCACCTCGGTCGACGGCGACCGCGTCGAGCAGGGGCGAAGGTCGGTGCAGAGGACTCGTTCGGAGTAACGTGCTTGACCGAGCACTTCCCCGGTCGCGACGACGAGCAGCATCTCGTCGTTGTCGCCCTGCAGCTGCACTACGCTCTCCTTGAGCTGGCCAGCAGACAGCAGGTTCGCCTGTACGCCCGGAACGTAGAGCACGTCGGGGATGAGGACCCGCTTCCCGGCCTCCCCTTGCAGAGCGACGGTTCCGCAACCCTCGACAGGCTGTAGTGCTCCGTTGAATCCACACACGTGTTTCACACCGTCGCTCGGCGCCATGTCGACGAAGACCGCCTTCGTCCCCATCAGGTGGTGGGAGCAACCGCTATCGAGCAGCACCGCCATCGGGTTGGCTTGCACAGCTGCCGCCACCGCCTGGAAGTCCTCGCCAGCCTCCGGTGCCAGCGAGACTGTCGGCTCCACCACGCCGACCATCGAGCACGACGCCTCCCCGTCGCCTCGGCCCTTGCCGCCGGAGCTGTCGACCGTCCGCGGCCTCCCTTGCTGTCGTCCTCGTCGCTGTCATCGCGGTAAGGGCACTCGAAGGAGAGATGGTCGGGGTCGCCGCAGATCCAGCACTCCCGCCGTCGACCACCATCTCCACGGCCCTTGTCTCGCGTCGACCTAAGTTGGAATATACGCTCAGACCCTAAAGCGTAGTTCATACGCTAGCGTGTATACGCAAAACGCTATACGCTAGCTAATACGCTATACGCAGTCTGAATGTTCTAGGGGCTGCCCGAAAAAAAAAATCGTGTGTATACAGAAAGATGCGGAATCTCCTGCTGAGCATTCCGCCGAAGTCGGAATGCAATTTGACGGTATAGGGAAACGGGAACGTGCCTTTGAAGATTGCAGGAGTTCAAAATTGAACATTCGTTTAGTACCGCATTGAAACCATCTCATCTACGAACTCCAACCTCTCAAAAATGTCCCCCAACAAACCCCACTCACGCTATTTACCAGGCAGCAAAACTCCACTGGTCATTCTAGTTTACATTCCCACTTGCGATCCTTCCGATTCCTACTAGCAATAGTGTTTACTCCACATCCCACCCCAATCGTCGTTCAGACTTAGAAAAATCCTACGAAAGTCTTAGTGAGAACAGGGAATACCTCCCTGATGTCGAGGACTGCGTTTTTTTCCCTGCCCGGGAAAGTTTTTTTCCTGCCCAAAAAAGCGTATCCTCGATCAAACCCCTCCAGCGTATAGCGTGCAAACGGTAGCGTATATACGAAACCCGTATATACGCTAAACGCGTATATTCCAACCTAGGTGTCAACTTCTTCTCGTCGACGTCCTTCGTCGACCGCCCACCTCCGCTACCACCTCCGCCCGGCTTCCCGCGCTGCCCCTGCTCACGATTCTGCTTCGTCGGTCGCCTGCGGAAGGAGCTCCGTGGGCTGCTCTGCCTCCTGCATAGCCTCGTCTTGAAGGATGTAGCTGGTGATGGAGTCCTCGTCGAGGGACTCACGCGTGCCGGGCACCATCATCATCCTCTTCATGAGGTTGTAGCTGCGCGGCAGGCCCTTGACGACGTGGGTGATGTAGGACGCCGTCGAGTATTCGGCGTCCGCCATCCTCATCTCAGCAAGGATCCGTCGAGCACGGTTGCAGTAGTCCGTCGCTAACTCCTGCTCGCCCATCCGAATGTGAGTCATCTTCTCCTCCAGCTGTCCAATGTACAGGTCGTCCTTCACCTGGTACGTCGACAGGATGAAGTGCCATGCTTGGTGACCAGCATCCAGACGCTCTCGACAGCTCCTGAGTGCTAGCTGCACCACCGGCGAGCAGCACCTTGAGATGACCATGAAGGTGAGCAAGTGAGCCGCTCGAAACTCCCCGCGCAGCTCGACATCGTCCACGGGCAGAATTGGCAGTATGCCGTCGGCAAAGCCCTTCAGCCCGGCGACCTCCAGCTGAGGTTCTATCGACTCCCTCCAGGTGATGAGGTCCCGTCGACCTTGCAGCGGTGCGACGGTGATCCGGTCCGGCGAGAACTTGAAGTAGCCATACGCCGGTGCAATCCCGCCCGCCGTCACATGCGTCGTCGCCGAGAGCCCTCCACCGCTTCGTAGAGGAGAGAGACGTCGACCATCGACGTCGGCACGCGAGCTGCCTGCAGCCCCCGTCGACCGCTGCATTCGCACCTGAATCCTGTCAACGCCAGCGTCGACCTTGATCACCCCTCTCTATTGCGTGCCTTCGCTACCGCTGACTCGTGCACGGTCGATGACCTCGTCGTTGATGCCACCTGCATTTCGCACCGTCGAGGAGAAGCAGGACGGGAAGGGTGATTCGTCGCCCACTGCGCTCGGATGCCCAACTCGACGATCGACAAGGGGATCGTCCCGCACTTGCCATCCGCGTGGCGTCTCCTCGCATCAGCCAATCGTGCCTCCAAGGTGTCCGCTACGCCCGCATCAACTTCGGGGTCGACCATGGTGACTATAACGGCTGCCGGCCTACGAACGACTTAGTAGGTGCAAAAGTCGGCTCCTATCTGAAGGTCGCGTGTTCGCTCCACGCTCACCGCACCATGCGGAGAGTCACTCTACAACGGTAGTAAACTAGACTACGGGGTTGGCACGAACTACTAGGAGTGATCGTAGTATTGCTTGCGTTCCTTAGCACTTGCACATTCACGGGAGAAGTTGGCAAGAGTTTCCACTAGCAAAGTTGGAATTACAGAATGATTCAACAAGCAATGACAGAATGACTACATCAGGCACCTAGCAACTTTGCAGCTAGCCTGGTCGACCGCCAGCACCGCATGGTCGACCGCCTGCCAGCGTTGCGTAGAGGAGCCGCGCCAGCACTGCAGAAGAGCGACCTGCCAACACTGCAGGTCGACGGCGTGCCAACGCTGCAGCAATGCGGCTGTCCAGCAGTGCCCCAAAGAAGACAGTATTGCGCACGCTCGCAGGTGCGCGCAGACGATTGGCCCGACTTGCATTGCTGTGCATCCGTCGGCTGTTGTCTGCACCTGACGAGCCACATCGACTTCGGGATACCAGCCCGAAGTCGCCTTCGCCATCGCGACCTCGACGACGTTCGCGTGCCTCCGCAGAACTCGTCGAGCAGGTTACCCGGTCGACCACCAGGTCCCCCGGTCGACCACCAGGTGCCCCAGGTCGACCAGGAGATCCCCCGGTCGACCACTAGGTGCCTCCGATCGACCACGAGGTCCCTCGGTCGACCACAGCTCCTGTCGAGCTTCCCCCTGGTCGACGGACCCCTTCAGTCGACCAGAACTCTCAGCTGATGTCGCCGAGCTCCCCTCGTCGACCGCTGCATACTTGTCAGGTCGACGGACTGCTCCGTCGACCTCCCAGTCGAACTGCAGATCAACAGACTGCTCCGTCGACCTCCCGGTCGAGCTGCAGGTCGACGGACTGCTCCGTCGACCTCCTGGTCGAACTACCCCTCCTGGTCGACGGCCCGCCCGTCTTCCAGACCAGTCAGTTGCAGCTGTCAAGCTCCCTGGTCGAGAGCAACACCAGAGCGAACCCCTGCAGCTCGACGAGGCCCGTCGAGCAGCTCCTTCACCCCGAAACGGTCGGCTGCTTCTCCCGTACATCCGACCAAGTTGTCGGCGTTGCCCAAGCGAGGGCGGGGCAAACACTCACTCCCGATAATAGGGAGAAGTGGGTAAGGCAGTGAACGCAAAAAGGGGGAAGGAAGGAGGAGACAGAGGGGAAGGAGGGTATGGCAGAGGATGGAAGGGTATGGCATGGGATGGAAGGGTATGGCATGATTTGGAAGGGTATGGCAGGGGATGGAAGGGTATGGCATGGGATGGAAGGGTATGGCATGGGATGGAAGGGTATGGCAGGGGATGGAAGGGTATGGCAGGGGATGGAAGGGTATGGCAGGGGATGGAAGGGTGTGGCATGGGATGGAAGGGTATTGCATGGGATGGAAGGGTGTGGCATGGGATGAAAAGGTATGGCATGGGATGGAAGGGTATGGCAGGGGATGGAAGGGTATGGCAGGGGATGGAAGGGTATGGCATGGGATGGAAGGGTATGGCATGGGATGGAAGGGTATGGCATGGGATGGAAGGGTATGGCATGGGATGGAAGGGTATGGCATGGGATGGAAGGGTATGGCAAGGGATAGAAGGGTATGGCATGGGATGGAAGGGTATGGCAGGGGATGGATGGGTATGGCATGGGATGGAAGGGTATGGCATGGGATGGAAGGGTATGGCATGGGATGGAAGGGTATGGCAGGGGATGGAAGGGTATGGCATGGGATGGAAGGGTATGGCAGGGGATGGAAGGGTGTGGCATGGGATGGAAGGGTATGGCATGGGATGGGAGGGTATGGCATGGGATGGAAGGATATGGCATGGGATGGAAGGATATGGCATGGGATGGAAGTGTATGGCAGGGGATGGAAGGGTATGGCAGGGGATGGAAGGGTATGGCAGGGGATGGAAGGGTATGGCATGGGATGGAAGGGTATGGCATGGGATGGAAGGGTATGGCATGGGATGGAAGGGTATGCATGGGATGGAAGGGCATGGCATGGGGTGGAAGGGTATGGCGTGGGATGGAAGGGTATGGCATGGGATGGAAGGGTATGGCATGGGATGGAAGGGTATGGCATGATTTGGCAGCGGATGGATTCGTATGGCATTCGATCGCCCAAGGGTACGGCAGGGGTTAGAAGGGCATGCGATGGGGGAGCACGGGGGAATGAGGGGGAAAACGGGGGTGGGATGAGAAGGAGAAGGGAGGGCAATGAGCGGGATAAAGGGGGGGGGAATGAGAGGAGGAAGGGGTGGAGAGGAGAGGGAGAAGGGGTGGAAATGAGAAGGAAAAGGGGTGGAAATGAGAGGTGAGCAGGGGGGGGAGGTGAGGGATACAAAGGGGAAATGAGAGGGAGCACGTGGGGCGATGAGAGGGAGAAGGGGAGGAATTGGGGGGAAACGAGAGGGGGAAAGGGGGGGAATGAGGGGGCGCATGAGGGGAAATGGGAGGGAGAAAGGGGGGAAGTGAGCTTGAGAAGGGGGGGGGGGGATGAGAGGGAGAATGGGGAAAAATGAGAAGGAGAAAGGGGGGGCATGAGAGGGGGGAGGGGGGTGAACGAGAGGGGAAAGGTGGGAAAAGAGAGGGAGAAGGGGGGGGGGGGTGAATGAGAGGGAGAAGAGGCGAAAGTGAGAGGCAGCGAATGGGGCAATGAGAGGGAGAAGGGGAGGAAATGAGCAGGTGAATGGGGGGGAAACGAGAGGGGGAAGGGGGGGGGGGGGGAATGAGGGGGCACATGAGGGTTAAAGTGTCAACGGGAGTTGTGTTTGGCCCCGTCCTCGCTTGGGCGGAGCCGATCTCGTGGTCGGGTGTGCGGGGGATGCAGCCGACCTGCAGCATTGGGTACCGGGGCCACTGCGAGGGCGTTGAGCCAGGGGGCGCCTGGCTGGAGGGCGCCGAACAGGTGGACGCCGTCCTTGGCGTCTGGGCAGCGTTCTGGGCGTCTGCTCGGCGTCCCGGGCGCCTGGACGCCGACCTGGGCGCCTGGACGGCGTCCTGGGCGAGTGGACGCCAGCCTGGACGCCAGGACGCCGACCCTGGGACGCCGGGTTTGGTGTAGCCGGCGACCGACTGGGCTGGACGACCAGGCGGGGTTGCCCGGTCGTCCGGGATACCCGGGCGACGTGTGCGAAAGTCGCCGGGATGGTTTCTGCGAAGGTGACCTCGGGAGTGGTATCCCGAGGTCGACGTGGCTGGTGGGCGCAGTCGCTGGCGTGGAGTCTGCCAGGCGTCTGCGCTATGCACGTGACAAGAACGAGCGCACCAACCAGCTGCGCGCACCTGCGAAGCAGATGCACCGTTGTCCTGCGGGTGCAACGCTGTGCAGCCGACCTGCTGCAGCGTTGTCACACCGCAGACTTGCAACGCTGGCGCACCGCTACTCTGCAACGCTGGAGCGATGCGAGCACTGCTGCGCTGGAGCGCGGTCGACCGTGCTGCGCTGGAAGTCGACCAGCAGCTGTGCTAGCTCTGATGTAGCCTTGCATGTCAATGTTGTTGCAATCGTTCTGAACCCTTGTTGCTATGTTTTCCTAGTGAAACCCTTGCCAATTCTCTCTGTGAACCAGCAAGTAGTGTGAGCACTTGGAAACGACTAAGGCACTACGAACGCAGAGATCCCTCTCACACACGTGCCTTCCCCGCAGTCAAGCTCCCGTTGCTAGAGTTATCTCCGCATAAAGAAAGGGAGAAAGAGGGGATTTGAGATGGAGAAGGGGGGGGATGAGAGGGAGAACGGGGTAATACGAGAAGGGGAAAGGGGGGACATGAGAGGGATCAAGAGGGGAAATGTGAGGGAGAAGGGGCGAACATGAGAAGGAGAAGGGGGGGTAATTAGAGGGGGAAGGGGGGTAAACGAGAGGGGGAAGGGGGGGAAACGAGACGGAGAAGGGGGGGAAACGAGGGGGAGAAGGGGGGGGAAACGAGAGGGAGAAGGGGGGGAATGAGGGGGGGCGTGGGGTGGATGTGGGGGAGAACGGAGGGAAATGAGAAGGAGATGGGGGGGACATGAGAGGGAGCAAGGGGGGAAACTCAAGGGAGAAGGGGGGGAAATGAGAGCGGGAAGGGGGGTAAACGAGAGAGGGACGGGGGGTAAACGCGAGGGGGAAGGAGGGGAAAACGACAGGCGGAAGGGGGGGAAATGAGCGGGAGAAGCGCTGGAATCGAGAGGGAGAAGGGAAGGGGGCAATAAAAGGGAGCCAGGGGAATGAAAGATGGGGAGGCTTGCTCACGGAATGGCGAGGCTTGAGATGGAGATGGGTGGGTTGGCTGGGGAGATATGGAGGCATTCGTGAGGGAAATTAGGAGCCAAGAAGGGGAAACGGGGAGGTGGGAAGGGGAAACGGGGAGCGGGAAGGGGAAACGGGGAGGCGGGTAGGGGAAACGAGGAGGCGGGTAGGGGAAACGAGGAGGCGGGTAGGGGAAACGAGGAGACGAGAAGGGGAAACGGGGAGGCGGGAAGGGATAATGGAAGGCAGGAAGGGGAAACGGGAAGGTGGGAAGGGGAAACGGGGAGCGGGAAGTGAAAACGGGGAGCGGGAAGGGGAAACGGGGAGTGGGAAGGGGAAACGGGGAGGCGGGTAGGGGAAACGAGGAGGGGGGCAAAAAAAAAAATGCCTGGAAGAAAAATGTGACGAGCATGTTAGGCAAGACAGAAAGGGTTCCACACGTGAAACGCATATCTTCGCCCGCAACAACAATCGATTCTGCAACAACTTGGCCGATTACGTGCAAAATAAAAACGAAGCACACGAGAATAGCAATGCGCGCATTTAAGAGATAAAAACAACGTGCAAGAAAAAAACAGACGAGCTGGTTAGGACTTCTTGAAAAGAACAAACATATGTTAGATGCACCGCATACCTCGGCATGGCGACCACGCTGAAATCTGCAACACGACGGGCGACAACAAGCCTGATCAAACAGAAACATCGGCAGAAAAGATAAAAGAACTAAACACAATGAGAAGAGGAAAAAAAATACGGTTGGGGTAGGGACTCGACAACTGAAACCTCTTCAGCTCGACAGAGGTAAGGAAGTGCGGCAGCAACTAACGTCAGAAAATAGAAGTCTACGATGGAAAATGGCAAAGGTCCGCCAATACTGCAGGTAAGAACGAATGGGAGATGACGAGGGTGGGGGGAAGTTGTTGGGGGGGAAGGTGGGGGGGGCGGGTGGGTGGGGGGTTGGTGGCAACGAAGTCTGCTGAAAGTTCAGCGATAGAACTTCCCACTAGCGTATCAGCGCGGCAAATCGCCAGCGTGGGTCAAAGTTTTTGATTTGGCCCCTGAGTTGCTCAGCAGCGGCAAACGGACCCCGATAGGTGTTCGCGACTGATTGTACATTCCAATCAGTCGCATTGGTACGGGCGTGAGTAGCGATTGGCCAGTTAAGTGATGTGGGCGGACAGCAATGCGCTGCTCACCAGTCACACAGGCGCGATGCGCTCCTGCCAGCTCAAAAAGCAAGGAAATGGTTACAGCATGCCAGTTTCACAATCCCACAGCACACAATATTCAGAGAAAGGACCCGCTACTTACAGGCCGTATTTTATCAAAGTCCCATTTCGGGAGTCAGCAACTAAGACAAACAAACTGTCACAAATGGGCGATATCTGATCACAACCAAGGTAAACTATATGATTGATGCAATCTTGTTTCAAATTCAGGTAACACATATTGTAAACATATACATATGCAATATATTGAAACAATAATTTTATGCACGTAAGACATACATGCATACACATAAATATGTACGCACGTACTTATATTCAGTATGTATAATTATGTGTAGCGTCGACTGAATTAGAACATTAAAATATTTGCTTTATTATATCATATGTCTATCATCAATACTAACATACACATTTCATTCTGACATGGAGTCAGGATTGCGGGAGTAACGTATGTTGTCACCTCGTTGAATCCTTAAATACAATAAAATCAAATGCGCGCACTACATATGATCGTAGCTACTCAATAGTGGTACGTGATTCGTTGTGATCCGCATTCGCACCATCTGATAGAGAGATATGATGTTCCAAACAACTGGCCTATACGCAAGGATTGGCCATCCAAACCGTGCAAGGATAGGCATGTACTCAACATGTCACTGTTTGATCGTTGAGATGTTTTTTTTTTACCCTATTTCTTCTCACATTCATGCATTATATCCTATTCCCTAGCCATTGGAACTTATTTGAGCTCATTCGCACAACTACGCTGCACGTGACGCTTGTTTGTGCGTTTGATGGCATGAAACCTTGCAAGGAAAGGCATGTACACAACATGTCACCGTTTGATCATCTGATGTTTTTTTTAGCCCTATTTCTTCTCACATTCAGATAGTAAATCCTATTCCCTAGCCATAGGAACTGGTTTGAGCTCATTCGCACACCTTTGCTGCACGTGACGCTTGTTTGTGCGTTTGATGGCATGAAACCGTGCAAGGATATGCATGTAGACAACATGTCATTGTTTGATCGTCTCGATATTTTTTAAAGCGCTATTTCTTCTCACATTCAGGTAGTGCATTCTAATCCCTAGCCATTAGAACCTTTTTGAGCTCATTCGCACAACCACGCTGCACGTGACGCTTGTTTGTGCGTTTGCAGGCCTGGAGGTCGACCTGCTTGCATGCTAGACAGACTTGCTCCTGATATAGTCAACTTTTCCAACATTGTTGCTTTCACTATAGTGCATAAATACTAACAAAATCTGTTGCCTTGAGAAATTTGTATAGGGAAATTGAACAGTTATGCATTTGCAACAAACAATTATGGAAATCTTCCCACACTCTTGGTTGATCTTCTCGAGCCAGCTTTTGCTTATGCAATGGATATAAACTACACCCATAAAAGTATGGAACATGGTAGAAAATGAGCTCAAATAAACAATGTATATTGTTTCGGATTATATGTTTCAAATTGTATATATTTTACTAACACCATATTACAAAATTTATTAGCCAACACAGCAGACTCGATCGAGACAGAGCCAATGGGATCCCAGGGCACAGTTCGTGGCCTCCCACAAGGTTCCCGAAGCTGGGATGTGCCACCAAACCTGCAAACCAAGCTGCTCAACCAGTGAGGAAATTTCCGAAGCTGGCAGCCTATCTGCCCAAGCAAATTCGAGCATTCCGAAGCTGCGTACAGTGATTTCGGTTCGATGCGATGCGTCAAAAGCATCTTTCCTCGCGCAAATCAGAATGTTACTTGAAGCATACTCTATGAAACCCTACTTTTCGGGACCCCCCATTTTTGGGATGAGCATGAGGTTCAAGGCTATTATCACGACGCACGGAGTGACGCTCCTCGAGCAGCGTAAGCCCGCCTTGGAAGTCACCTTCCTACTTCCTTCCTTGTGTGCTCGCATGACGATCCTTTTCCCATTTCAAACTCTCGTGTGTGTTTTGCTCCTACTGTGCTTTCAACCCTGGGTAGAGCTCAGCCTCGATGTCTTGGGTCACATGCTCCGTGCTTCTCTTCTCTCTGTTCACCACGACGAAGTGCAACATTTAGCGCATGCCGCTTCCTTGCATGCCTCCTTTGTCATACCATGCCATCATGCCATCCATGCCAGAATCCCATCGATGCAACCATCCCATCCATGACATCATGCCTCGGCGTGGCCACCCCATGGCTTTCCCAAGTCTTCGTCGGTGCGTGTCAACGCGATCACGATGAAACGTGACGTAGCGGTAGGAGCTAACGTGCATGTGGTTGACATTCGGGAAGCCGAGGCAGCAAACTAACCTAGCGATGTGCAGAAATTGCTCGTTGACGTACCGAATGACTTGGGCGCACTACTGAAGCAGTACAGGGGGATATTCTCGGACGACTTTCCAGAGAGACTGCCACCTTAGCAACCGCACAACCACAGGATAGAGTTAGAACTGGGGGCACAACCGACAGTACAGCGACAGTTTTGATTGACCCAACCTGAACTGGATGAACTACGGAAGCAGCAGGATTACCTGCTCGAGAAACAATTCATTCTCCCGAGTTCGCCACCTTTCACCACACCTTTACTGTTCACACCAAAGAAAGATGGGGGGTTTCACATGTGCATAGGTTACCATGCATTGAATAGGGTTACAATCAAGTCTCGCTACCCCATCCCACGAGCCGACGAACTGATAGTCCAGCATCGCACAGCCCGAGTCTTCTCAAAAATCGACCTTTAAGGAGGTTACCACCAGATCTGCGTCAACCCACCCGACTACCTGAAAACCACCTTTCACACCCATTACGGATCGTTCGAATACACCGTAATGCCCTTCGAACTGTCCAACGCCCCCGCCACTTTCCAAATGACCATGAACAAAGCCTTTCACCCGTTTTTAGATAACTGTGTCATCGTCTACTTAGACGACATACGGATCTACAGCCCGGACAGAACACAACGCCTACGAGACATCGAATCAGTTTTGAAAATACTAAGTGAGAACCGCCTACAGACAAAATCCTCTAACTGTGAGTTTCTATAGGACAGACAGGAGTTTTTGGAGAGTGGAAATAGACCCGAAAAAAAATCGTGAAGATTCAAGCATGGCACGCGCCGACAAATCTGACTGAGCTGTAGAGTTTCCTGGGGTTTGTCAACTACGTGCGACGGTTCGTCCCCGACATGGCGCAGTTGACTGCCCCGTTGACCAATCTACTGAGGAAGGGGGTTGAGTACACGTGGGGGGAGAAAGAGCAAGCTGCCTTCTCGGCCCTCAAGAGAGTTTTGTGCTCGCCGCCTGTACTACACATTGCCGACCCTCACCGCCCGTTCGAACTGGTCACCGACGCAAGCGACATCGCTGTGGAAGCAGTGCTGTTGCAGGACTTCGGGAACGGCCTTCAGCCAATCGCGTACGAGTCTCTCAAGCTCCATCCGCCCGAACGCAAGTATCCGATACACGACCGCGAGACGCTGGCGATCGGGCATGCATTTAAAGTGTGGCGATGATACCTCATTGGAGCCGACATGACAGTACGGATAGACAGCCGATCACTACAGCATCTCCGCGCCCAACCGAACCTCAATCCACGACAAATTCGCAGGTTGGACTATTTGGAGTCCAACTTCCACTAAACCGTCACGTACAAAAAAGGAGCACTCAACATCGCCGACGCTCTCACCCGCCCTACTGCCATACTTCATGCCATCCTACTAGCCCAAACCAATCTACTTTTAACAGGCCTATTCACCCACAGATTCCGCACCGACCCATTTTTCACGACTAGAAATTTGAAAAAGCTGACAGAAACGAAGGGATTTTATTACGTAAAAGTTGGTGCCAACCGCATCCGGATACGAGCGTATTCACTCCTACGGGAATTACTACTGCAGCAGGCACACGACGGGCTAACCTTAGGTCACTTCGGGGTAGAAAAAACGCAATAGAAACTGCAACGGTATTACTACTGGCTGGAGCTGTTGACCAACGTACAGCACCACGTGGGGTCATGCCCCACGTGTCAGGTGATGAAGAGCTCGCGCAAGAGAAAGGCAAGTCAGTTGCAGCCGATCCCACCGCCGAGCATGCCTGGCAGCAGGTTACCATGGATTTCGTCACAGGGTTACCTTCGAGCCTTGGGGGTAACATACGCGGTTATACAAAATGGCCCACTTTGCTGCGTGTAGGAAATCGATCTCAGCCAAAGAAACCGCTCTCATGTTGATCGCGACCGTTGTTTGACTGCATGGGATACCATCCGCGATAATCAGCGACCGCGACACAAAGTTTACCAGCAACTTCTCGAATAACCTCTTGGAGCAGTTCGCGACCCGAGTACAGTTCAGTTCGTCGTACCACCCCGAGTCGATTGGTCAGGCGGAGCGAACAAACCAGACTATGGGGCAGCTGATTCGTGCCACGTGCGACGATCTGACAACATGGGAGCAGCAGTTACCGTTGATCAAGTTCACCTATATCAACGCCACGTCAGTGACGATGCAGCAGTCCCCGTTCTACATGAACTACGGGCAAAAGCCAAAAGTGCCCATTACCCCGAGCCCGGACAGCCAACATGATCACCACAGTTATCGCCCATCTATTGTTGCCGACGGGCTGGTACATCAAGCCATTGTTCCACGTCAGCCTGCTTCGCCCATACATCCCCACTACAAACCAACTGCCATGCCATCGCCCGCCATCGATGACGTGTCCTGCATCGGAGCCGATTGTCGACCTCGAAAAAATTATGAGCCATCGGTTTCGTCACCTCACGGGAATTCAAAGGATTTAGTTCCTCGTTCGCTAGAAGGAGCGCAACCCAACGGAGAACAGCTGAGCGCCTCTGGCCAACATCGAAAAACACCATGCCCTGCAAGCATACCTGAGGAGCCGGGGTTTCCGTGATATGCACGCACTCGCATAATGGAGGGGGCTTCTTGAGGGAGGGGGCGGGGTGGAAGGGGGGGGAGGAGGGGGGGGGGGGGGGGGGGGTACTATAAGGTTTTTTTTCGGCATTCCTTACCGCGTACAACAGCAACCGTTGCTCGCCCGTTAGTGCTAACGAGGATTCGCCAACCTCCACGCACACTATTCACCAAACCATGCACCACTGGCCCAGCCGTGTTGGCCTACGCTTCAGGACTAGTCCAAACTTTGATGCCAACATTGCACTAGCACACTCACACGCACCGCGTTACCGTTTGCATGTTTCGCGTAGATTTCGCTCATGCCTTCGCTCAAACTTTGTACTGGTTTGACACCTTTGTGAAATTCTCGCTATCTCGTTCCATTGCACCCGTAACACCTAATGATTTCTGACATGTTCTACGGTGTTAGTTCTGTTAGGTTTTTACATATGACAATACTGTATTTTTAGATGTGCTTTTTTAGGCTACAACTTCTACCGAGCTGATCGGTGTACAATCTGGCTACTCACAATCCACGCGAGTTCCGTTGCGACGCAACGCGCGACAGGGAGCGAAATGTGCCCACTGACTCCGAAAACACGAAAATTGCGCAGCCTATCACGTGCAGGGAACCAAAAACTGGCGACAATTTTACAGTCCACAAGCCTAGGGTACATGATATGAAAGTTGCAGGTGCGGGGAGAGGGTTCATACGCGCTCTGAAGGGTGGATGTCGTTCGGGCGCGTTGTCGTGGGTCGCAAACAGGTCAGCATATAGAGCTTATAACGAGTATCCCGATTTGCAGTCACATTGCCGAACGTGTCGTTGTTTTGCCTACGAAGCCTACATCTGAAGTATCGTAATTCATCATAAACGCAGCCTACCCAAGCTTCCGTATTGCACTGGCTTATTTGCCGTTCTCCCCCTTCCCGTTTTCCTCGTTACAGCATGACTCGCTCGTTTCTCTTACAGCGCCTACAGAAGCTCACCAATCAGCAAACTCCCAGCCCGCCAGGCAGACCGCCTGACCTGCCAGCGGAAGCCGCGCAGAGGGCGGAGGCTCAACGCGCAGGCAGCGACGCGACAGCAACAGCGCAGCGAAGGGGAGCAGCCGCAGTAGGGAGGGTTGCTGGGGAAGCGGGCCAAGGGGAAGGGCGGGCGGAGGAGCAGCGCGGTGGCGTGCGGTTGGAGTCGGTTCTGGCCGCCAATCCCCTTGTCGCCCTGCCTGCCCGCCCCGAGCCCGCCGTCCCCCCTTACGCCTTCCCCTCGCCCTCCCTCCACTCCTCTCCCCATGGCCTCCCCGCTTCCCCCCTGCGCACGAACACTTACGAGCCTGCGCTGGGCAATGGCTCGACAGGGAGGGACAGTGCCATGCTCGCAGGCACGTGTACGGCCACAGGCACGGGAACGGGCACGGGCGCAGGAACAGGCACAGGCACGGGCACGGGCATAGGCACGGCCACAGGCACAGGCACGGGCACAGGCACGGGCACAGGCACGAGCACAGGCACGGGCACAGGCACGGGCACGGGCACAGGCACGGGCAGGAATTTGCGTGAGCGGTGGGAGCAGGCATTGCAGATCGGCAAGGGGCGGGCGATTTGGGACGACGAGCAGACCACAGCGCTGCTGGGGATCTTGCGGGATGTGCTGCAAGCTGAGGGCTCCCCCCTCCCCGGCAGGATCGACTGGGGGGCGGTGCACCGCGAGTGGTTGCGGCAAGGATTCCCGCGTTATTCGGGGGAGCAGCTGCGAATGCGGTGCAAAGTGGTGCGCGGGTGGGTGAAGGACATTCAGCTCCTCCAGTCGCTGTTGCCGCCTGAAGTCGCCTGGGACCCCACCACTCAGCGCTTTAGCCCCGACCCCAAGGTGAGGCGTAGTCTGATTGTGTATGATTTCAAGATGGGCTTACCACCGTCCTCAGCCTCCTCTCCCTCCTCTCCCTCCTCTCCCTCCTCTCCCTCCTCTCCCTCCTCTCCCTCCTCTCCCTCCTCTCCCTCCTCTCCCTCCTCTCCCTCCTCTCCCTCCTCTCCCTCCTCTCCCTCCTCTCCCTCCTCTCCCTCCTCTCCCTCCTCTCCCTCCTCTCCCTCCTCTCCCACCTCTCCCTCCTTTGCCTCTCCCTCTTCTCTCCCCCTTCCCTCTTTTTCCTATCTTCCTTACCCGTTCGCCTGCTTCCTCACCACCCCCACCCGCCGCTGCAGCTGGGAATCATTCCGCGGCTGAAGCAGCAGGGGCAGTGGAAGCACTACAGGCGGTGGTGCAAGCACACGGCGCCCTGGCTGCCCCTCGCTCTGCTCAACGCCCACACTTGCCCTGCTGAGGGCCCTCTGCGGGGCGAAGAGGAGGAGTGGGAGGAGGAGGACGACGACGAGGACGAGGACGAGGAGGAGGAGGAGGATTGGGAAGAGGGGGAGGGAGGGGAGGAGGATGGGGAAGAGGAGGATGAAGTGGTGGAGGTGGAGGATGGGGGGGAGGGGAATGGGGAGGCGGAGGACGAGGAGGAGGAGGAGGAGGTTGAGGAAGTGGAGGAGGTGGGGGGAAGAGGGCGGGAGGGATGGGGCGATGGAGGGCGACTGCGGCGAGTGGCAGGGAGGTACAGGCATGGATCAGGAAGGAATGTGCGGAGGAGGATAGACAGAGGAGGGGTGGAGGCACGGAGGGGTAATGGAGAGAGCTGGAGGGGTGGAGAGTTGGATGGTGATGAGTGGTGGGGGACGAGGAGGGGGGGTGCAGGGCGACAGGCAGTGCAGGGAGGGGGTGTGAGGACCAGAGGGGAAAGAGAGGGTGCAGAAGCGAGAGGGGTTGAAATTGGCAGGGCTGGGGTTGGCAGAGCTGGGGTTGGCAGAGCTGGTGCTGGAGAGGAGGATGGTGGGTTAGGCTGTACAGTTGACGCGCCGCGCGCGAATGGCGTTCCTCGTGCTGAGATCTCGTGTCGGAATGTAACATTTGCTGACAGTGCTCGTGCTGACGTGGCTCGTGCTGATGGGGCTGGTGCTGACGTTGCTCGTGCTGACAGGACTGGTGGTGCAAGTGCGGATGAGAGGGACGAGTACCCTGCAAGGCTGGCAGCGCGGATCGCTGGGATGGTGGCGAGCAGGAGGGAGCAAGGCGATGGAAGAGGAGGAAACACAAATGCATGGCGCGGGGTGGGGGCTCCTGAGGGACAGAATAGGGGGGAGGAGAGGCAGGGGGGGGGGCGAGGGGAGGAGGGGAGAGGGGGGAGGGGTGTGAAGCGGTCGAGACCGGTGTGGGTGCAGGTGAGGGAGAGGAAGCGGCAGCGGCGGGTGATGGAGAGTGTGGCGCGTGCCCTGATTGTGTTCAGAGGCAAGGCGAGGAAGGGGCAGACACACGTGTACCGAGGTAGATGATGCTGATGCCACATGTGTGGTGTGAGGGGATGGGATGGGATGGGATGGGATGGGATGGGATGGGATGGGATGGGATGGGATGGGATGGGATGGGATGGGGTGGGGATAGGGTTGGGGTGGGATGTGACGTGATGTGATGTGATGTGATGTGATGTGATGTGATGTGATGTGATGTGATGTGATGTGATGTGATGTGATGTGATGTGATGTGCTGTAATATGATGTCACATATGCACAGTGGTATGAGAAGGCACAGCCTTAGTGTGCCCGCAGGCATGAATGTTTCGAGGATGCCTTGGTTATAATCACTAAATAGTTATAATCACTAAATCATTACTTCAAAAAAAAAAAAAAAAAAACAGTCCTAGTTATAATCACCCTCTTCCTACTGCCTTCAGAACCACCCCCTTTTTCCTCTCGTTCACCAGACGCGGTGGCGGACAGCGTATTCAAGGCGGTGCAGGACGTGCAGGCGCTCATTACACCCCTCTCCCCCCTTCCCTTTCCTCTCTTCCCCCCACCCCCCCACCAGACGCGGTAGCTGACAGTGTGGTGAGGGCGGTGCAGGACGTGCAAGCCCTCCCCTCCTTAACGGACGCGCAGCGCGTGGCGGCCATCGACGCCTTCCTGCAGCGCCCCCTCGACGCTCACGCCTTCCAGGCCATGAGCCCCGCCCTGCAGACCCTCTTCGCTCTGCGTGCCCACGCCCAGGCCGTTGATCAGCAGCTGGCTGGGATTCAAGCTGCCACTGCTGCTGCTGGGGGGGGAGATGCGGTGCTCACAGACCAGCTCCTTGCGCCGCTGCAGGGCGTGGCTGGGGTGGGGCTGCAGGGCGTGGCTGCGGGTATTGGGGTGGCGGGGGGGGGAGTGGCCAGCGGAGCGGGGATGGGGGGATCGGTTGGGGTTGGGGGTGTGGCGGGGATGGGCGCAGGGGGAGTGGGATTTGGGGGGAACGGGGTGGGGGGGATGGCGTCAACGGGTGTGGGAGTAGCAGGGATGGGAACAGCAGGGATGGGAACAGCAGGGGTGGGAACAGCAGGGGTGGGAACAGCAGGGGTGGGAACAGCAGGGGTGGGAACAGCTGGGGTGGGAACAGCAGGGGTGGGAACAGCAGGGGTGGGAACAGCAGGGGTGGGAACAGCAGGGGTGGGAACAGCAGGGGTGGGAACAGCAGGGGTGGGAACAGCAGGGGTGGGAGTGAGAAGCATGTGGATGGCTGAAACTCGTAGAGGGGGAATGGGATCGGGGATACCGCGGATAGGGGAAACAGGGTTCGGTTGGAGGGGTTTGGGAACGGTAGGACAAACGGAAGCAGAGATGGGAGGTGGGAGTGTGGGTGTGGGAATGGCAGCAGCAGCAGTAGCAGCGGCCTCAGCAGGAGCGAGGGGTGTTCAGGGTGTGGGCGGGGGAGGAGGAGGACGGGGGGTGGGAGGAGGCGGAGGGGTAGGAGGGGCAGAGGGGGTAGGAGAAGCAGCTGGGGCAGCAGGAGCAGGTGGGGCAGCAGGAGCAGGTGGGTTGGGTGGCACAAGTGCGTTGGGTGACACAGGTGGTACGGGCGCCCCAGGTGGGACGGGCGGCACACAAGGGGCAGGCAGCACAGCAGGGCTGCAGCTGCTGGGGCATCGCGTGCAGGAGTTTGTGCGACAGAACCTGGGAGCAGTCAACGCAAGTCAAGGGGCAGTCAATGCAGGTCAAGGGTGGGTGAGTGGCACTCCAGGGGTGGTCAACGGGATTCAGTGCGAGTGCCCTGAGTGTGTGGCTGCTAGAATGCGTCAAGGCACAGTCAACGCAAGTCAACAGATGGCCAGCACAGATCAACAGGCAGTCAACGATGGTCAAGGGGCAGTCAATGCTGGTCAAGGGGCAGTCAATGCTGGTCAAGGATGGGTGGCTGGCACTCCAGTGATGGTCAATGAGCATCAATGCGAGTGCCCTGAGTGTGTGGCTGCTAAATTGGCGGCCAGTATACGGCAAAGGGCTGTCAATGGGAGTCAACCAGTGGTCGATGCGAGTCAACCAGTGGTCAACGCGGGCCAAACAGCTGTCAACGCGAGTCAACCAGTGGTCAATGCGGATCCGAGGAGGGGAGCGGCAGCGAATCAGACGGAGACAGCTCTCGGCCAATTAGGGTTCGGTGCAGGTCATGTGGGGACGGCTGCTGTGCTACAGACAAGAAGTGCTGGTCAAGCACCAGTCAACGCTGGTCAAGAAACAAGAATTGCCAGTCAAGGAGCAGTCAATGCAGGTCAAGGGGCGGTCAATGCGGGTCAAACGGCAGTAGACGTAGGTGAAGGTGGGGGGTTGAGCAGTGAGGAAGAGTTGCTTTCAGATGAGAATCTGAGTGGTGGATGGTCTACTAGTGAGGGCGAGGAGTTGAGTCAGAGGGAGGAGTTGAGTGAGGAGGCGTTGAGTGAGGGGGAGGAGTTGAGTGAGGGAAGGGGAATCGTGTGTGTGAGGGTCAATGGAGTTGCTCCGTTTGAAGCGGGGGCACTTGAGGGATTGTGGCACGTCTGAGGGATTGTGGCACGTCTGAGGGATTGTGGCACGTCTGAGGGATTGTGGCACGTCTGAGGGATTGTGGCACGTCTGAGGGATTGTGGCACGTCTGAGGGATTGTGGCACGTCTGAGGGATTGTGGCACGTCTGAGGGATTGTGGCACGTCTGAGGGATTGTGGCACGTCTGAGGGATTGTGGCACGTCTGAGGGATTGTGGCACGTCTGAGGGATTGTGGCACGTCTGAGGGATTGTGGCACGTCTGAGGGATTGTGGCACGTCTGAGGGATTGTGGCACGTCTGAGGGATTGTGGCACGTCTGAGGGATTGTGGCACGTCTGAGGGATTGTGGCACGTCTGAGGGATTGTGGCACGTCTGAGGGATTGTGGCACGTCTGAGGGATTGTGGCACGTCTGAGGGATTGTGGCACGTCTGAGGGATTGTGGCACGTCTGAGGGATTGTGGCACGTCTGAGGGATTGTGGCACGTCTGAGGGATTGTGGCACGTCTGAGGGATTGTGGCACGTCTGAGGGATTGTGGCACGTCTGAGGGATTGTGGCACGTCTGAGGGATTGTGGCACGTCTGAGGGATTGTGGCACGTCTGAGGGATTGTGGCACGTCTGAGGGATTGTGGCACGTCTGAGGGATTGTGGCACGTCTGAGGGATTGTGGCACGTCTGAGGGATTGTGGCACGTCTGAGGGATTGTGGCACGTCTGAGGGATTGTGGCACGTCTGAGGGATTGTGGCACGTCTGAGGGATTGTGGCACGTCTGAGGGATTGTGGCACGTCTGAGGGATTGTGGCACGTCTGAGGGATTGTGGCACGTCTGAGGGATTGTGGCACGTCTGAGGGATTGTGGCACGTCTGAGGGATTGTGGCACGTCTGAGGGATTGTGGCACGTCTGAGGGATTGTGGCACGTCTGAGGGATTGTGGCACGTCTGAGGGATTGTGGCACGTCTGAGGGATTGTGGCACGTCTGAGGGATTGTGGCACGTCTGAGGGATTGTGGCACGTCTGAGGGATTGTGGCACGTCTGAGGGATTGTGGCACGTCTGAGGGATTGTGGCACGTCTGAGGGATTGTGGCACGTCTGAGGGATTGTGGCACGTCTGAGGGATTGTGGCACGTCTGAGGGATTGTGGCACGTCTGAGGGATTGTGGCACGTCTGAGGGATTGTGGCACGTCTGAGGGATTGTGGCACGTCTGAGGGATTGTGGCACGTCTGAGGGATTGTGGCACGTCTGAGGGATTGTGGCACGTCTGAGGGATTGTGGCACGTCTGAGGGATTGTGGCACGTCTGAGGGATTGTGGCACGTCTGAGGGATTGTGGCACGTCTGAGGGATTGTGGCACGTCTGAGGGATTGTGGCACGTCTGAGGGATTGTGGCACGTCTGAGGGATTGTGGCACGTCTGAGGGATTGTGGCACGTCTGAGGGATTGTGGCACGTCTGAGGGATTGTGGCACGTCTGAGGGATTGTGGCACGTCTGAGGGATTGTGGCACGTCTGAGGGATTGTGGCACGTCTGAGGGATTGTGGCACGTCTGAGGGATTGTGGCACGTCTGAGGGATTGTGGCACGTCTGAGGGATTGTGGCACGTCTGAGGGATTGTGGCACGTCTGAGGGATTGTGGCACGTCTGAGGGATTGTGGCACGTCTGAGGGATTGTGGCACGTCTGAGGGATTGTGGCACGTCTGAGGGATTGTGGCACGTCTGAGGGATTGTGGCACGTCTGAGGGATTGTGGCACGTCTGAGGGATTGTGGCACGTCTGAGGGATTGTGGCACGTCTGAGGGATTGTGGCACGTCTGAGGGATTGTGGCACGTCTGAGGGATTGTGGCACGTCTGAGGGATTGTGGCACGTCTGAGGGATTGTGGCACGTCTGAGGGATTGTGGCACGTCTGAGGGATTGTGGCACGTCTGAGGGATTGTGGCACGTCTGAGGGATTGTGGCACGTCTGAGGGATTGTGGCACGTCTGAGGGATTGTGGCACGTCTGAGGGATTGTGGCACGTCTGAGGGATTGTGGCACGTCTGAGGGATTGTGGCACGTCTGAGGGATTGTGGCACGTCTGAGGGATTGTGGCACGTCTGAGGGATTGTGGCACGTCTGAGGGATTGTGGCACGTCTGAGGGATTGTGGCACGTCTGAGGGATTGTGGCACGTCTGAGGGATTGTGGCACGTCTGAGGGATTGTGGCACGTCTGAGGGATTGTGGCACGTCTGAGGGATTGTGGCACGTCTGAGGGATTGTGGCACGTCTGAGGGATTGTGGCACGTCTGAGGGATTGTGGCACGTCTGAGGGATTGTGGCACGTCTGAGGGATTGTGGCACGTCTGAGGGATTGTGGCACGTCTGAGGGATTGTGGCACGTCTGAGGGATTGTGGCACGTCTGAGGGATTGTGGCACGTCTGAGGGATTGTGGCACGTCTGAGGGATTGTGGCACGTCTGAGGGATTGTGGCACGTCTGAGGGATTGTGGCACGTCTGAGGGATTGTGGCACGTCTGAGGGATTGTGGCACGTCTGAGGGATTGTGGCACGTCTGAGGGATTGTGGCACGTCTGAGGGATTGTGGCACGTCTGAGGGATTGTGGCACGTCTGAGGGATTGTGGCACGTCTGAGGGATTGTGGCACGTCTGAGGGATTGTGGCACGTCTGAGGGATTGTGGCACGTCTGAGGGATTGTGGCACGTCTGAGGGATTGTGGCACGTCTGAGGGATTGTGGCACGTCTGAGGGATTGTGGCACGTCTGAGGGATTGTGGCACGTCTGAGGGATTGTGGCACGTCTGAGGGATTGTGGCACGTCTGAGGGATTGTGGCACGTCTGAGGGATTGTGGCACGTCTGAGGGATTGTGGCACGTCTGAGGGATTGTGGCACGTCTGAGGGATTGTGGCACGTCTGAGGGATTGTGGCACGTCTGAGGGATTGTGGCACGTCTGAGGGATTGTGGCACGTCTGAGGGATTGTGGCACGTCTGAGGGATTGTGGCACGTCTGAGGGATTGTGGCACGTCTGAGGGATTGTGGCACGTCTGAGGGATTGTGGCACGTCTGAGGGATTGTGGCACGTCTGAGGGATTGTGGCACGTCTGAGGGATTGTGGCACGTCTGAGGGATTGTGGCACGTCTGAGGGATTGTGGCACGTCTGAGGGATTGTGGCACGTCTGAGGGATTGTGGCACGTCTGAGGGATTGTGGCACGTCTGAGGGATTGTGGCACGTCTGAGGGATTGTGGCACGTCTGAGGGATTGTGGCACGTCTGAGGGATTGTGGCACGTCTGAGGGATTGTGGCACGTATGAGGGATTGTGGCACGTATGAGGGATTGTGGCACGTATGAGGGATTGTGGCACGTATGAGGGATTGTGGCACGTATGAGGGATTGTGGCACGTATGAGGGATTGTGGCACGTCTGAGGGATTGTGGCACGTCTGAGGGATTGTGGCACGTCTGAGGGATTGTGGCACGTATGAGGGATTGTGGCACGTATGAGGGATTGTGGCACGTCTGAGGGATTGTGGCACGTCTGAGGGATTGTGGCACGTCTGAGGGATTGTGGCACGTCTGAGGGATTGTGGCACGTCTGAGGGATTGTGGCACGTCTGAGGGATTGTGGCACGTATGAGGGATTGTGGCACGTATGAGGGATTGTGGCACGTATGAGGGATTGTGGCACGTATGAGGGATTGTGGCACGTATGAGGGATTGTGGCACGTATGAGGGATTGTGGCACGTCTGAGGGATTGTGGCACGTCTGAGGGATTGTGGCACGTCTGAGGGATTGTGGCACGTCTGAGGGATTGTGGCACGTCTGAGGGATTGTGGCACGTCTGAGGGATTGTGGCACGTCTGAGGGATTGTGGCACGTCTGAGGGATTGTGGCACGTCTGAGGGATTGTGGCACGTCTGAGGGATTGTGGCACGTATGAGGGATTGTGGCACGTATGAGGGATTGTGGCACGTATGAGGGATTGTGGCACGTATGAGGGATTGTGGCACGTATGAGGGATTGTGGCACGTATGAGGGATTGTGGCACGTATGAGGGATTGTGGCACGTATGAGGGATTGTGGCACGTGTGAGGGATTGTGGCACGTGTGAGGGATTGTGGCACGTGTGAGGGATTGTGGCACGTATGAGGGATTGTGGCACGTATGAGGGATTGTGGCACGTCTGAGGGATTGTGGCACGTCTGAGGGATTGTGGCACGTCTGAGGGATTGTGGCACGTCTGAGGGATTGTGGCACGTCTGAGGGATTGTGGCACGTCTGAGGGATTGTGGCACGTCTGAGGGATTGTGGCACGTCTGAGGGATTGTGGCACGTCTGAGGGATTGTGGCACGTCTGAGGGATTGTGGCACGTATGAGGGATTGTGGCACGTATGAGGGATTGTGGCACGTATGAGGGATTGTGGCACGTATGAGGGATTGTGGCACGTATGAGGGATTGTGGCACGTATGAGGGATTGTGGCACGTATGAGGGATTGTGGCACGTATGAGGGATTGTGGCACGTATGAGGGATTGTGGCACGTATGAGGGATTGTGGCACGTATGAGGGATTGTGGCACGTATGAGGGATTGTGGCACGTATGAGGGATTGTGGCACGTATGAGGGATTGTGGCACGTATGAGGGATTGTGGCACGTATGAGGGATTGTGGCACGTATGAGGGATTGTGGCACGTATGAGGGATTGTGGCACGTATGAGGGATTGTGGCACGTATGAGGGATTGTGGCACGTCTGAGGGATTGTGGCACGTCTGAGGGATTGTGGCACGTCTGAGGGATTGTGGCACGTCTGAGGGATTGTGGCACGTCTGAGGGATTGTGGCACGTATGAGGGATTGTGGCACGTATGAGGGATTGTGGCACGTATGAGGGATTGTGGCACGTATGAGGGATTGTGGCACGTATGAGGGATTGTGGCACGTATGAGGGATTGTGGCACGTATGAGGGATTGTGGCACGTATGAGGGATTGTGGCACGTATGAGGG